TTAGTACTAGAATTTCATAGGTTTACTTTTCATCTCTCTTTCTACTAATGTAGATTAACACCAAACTAGGAATCAATAGGACTTTATAAAGCTTGTAATGTATGGCTAGGATCCAAGTAGGATAAAGGATATAATGTGGCTCAAGTCACTCTAAAAACATAATTATTCTAAGACCTATATACAAAGCTTTATTTTCATTCTCCAAGTACACCTTTTCTTCCACAATTAAACTTTTCTTTTGTTCAACATTTTTTTCTCTTTTTTTTGTCACAATTTCACACCCTTAAACTTATTTTCTTTGTATTGTACGTAGAGTGGTGATTTTTAATATTTGAATCTTTTCTTCACATCAACATCACCTTTCTAGCTTTTTCAACATTTAGCTTAATCTATATTTCCCAAAATAATATACATGCTTAAGAGTGAGGGTTGCAAAATTGGGAATCTTATTTTAAGGCTAGGCTCAATTATTATGTAGTTAAATAATGAAAAGAGAAATTAGGCTCAACAGGGTATATTAGGGATAAAGATTTAGCAAGGTTGGCTTTTTAGGTTCAAACGGTCCAAAGATGGCCTAAGTCTTCTCCCTAACTAAGTATTGGCTAAGATTTTACCTCGAGAGATAATCAAGCAAATTCTAGAATTCATGACATAATCTAAAAATTCACATTAGTATAAACATTTTCTAGATATGCACAATAATTCAAAGTAAAAGAAAAAGTGCTCAAAATTGTGGAGATCACATCCTAACAATGGTACTTATCAAAATAATTTAGCATGAATCCAAACAAAAACCTTAGTCACCAAAAGCTAAGAATTCAAGACAACTAGTTATCATCATTGGATAGGGAAATTATCAAAAAAATTGACACATATTTCCTTTAGATTCCTAAAATTTGAGCAAGTAATAAATTAAATTACCAATTAATCCTAATTATTTAAAAATCTAGATACACATGAAAATACAATTAAATCTAAAACTTTGAAAAATATTAAAGAAAAATTGAAAACTTACTTGAAATCTTAAGCAAATAAGTTGAAAAGAATATGTGATGAAGGTTTTTATGATGTAGGTAATTAGTTTGGGAGATATTGAGGAAGGGAGAAGCGTGGGTTAAAGAGAAGTAAAGGAGAGACGAAGAATAATGGTTAAGAAACAAGGAAGAAAAGTGTAAAAATTTACACTAAAAAGGGATGTTGAGGGCTGCTAGAATGTTGGGAGTTGGGGGGTTTAAATATGGGATTGGAAGGTTGCCTAATGTTGGCAACCCATATAAAAAGGGTGATATTTGGGCAATGGGTGCCTAATTTTGGCAGCCCATATAAGAGAAGGTTACGGCCTAACTTTAATGTGAGCCACAACCCACATTGAAAAGGATTGCAAAGCCGTGGCCTTTCTATGTGACTACCACAACTCGTGATCTAGTAAGTAAATGGGGAAATTTTTTTTTCAAAGGAAGCCATGCCCACGATAAGGTCTCCTTTTTTTATAAGGGGTTGTGGCCTAGGGCATAGTGGGTCACAACCCGTGTCATTATAGGTTTGAGAGGTCGCACCCTACCCTGTCTCCACATTTGTTTTTCCACAAGCCGTGACCTAGGGCTAGTAGGCCACAACCAGCATCATAATAAGTTCGAGAGGCCGCGACCACCCCTAGTGGGTGTTGCGGCCTACCCCTCTTTCATTTTATTTTTTTGATTTTTTTATGGGACCTTTAATTGTACTGGCAAAATAAAAAAATTGACTAGTAAATAAGTACAAAAACAAACAAATAAAAATAACTAAGAGTAAAATAAATAAATTAAGTTAGAATGTTTAGGTTGCCTCCTAAAAAGCCCTTGATTTATAATCTTTAGCTTGACTTTTTTTTATTCAAATTGCATTGATAAACATGATAGAGGACCTTTGACAATCGAAATTGCCACTCCAATAGTGCTTTAATCATTGCCCATTCACCTTAAAGGTTGGTCTATCATCAGCCACCTTTACTGCTCCATAAGGATATACTTTTATTACAATAAAAGGCCTAAACAAATAAGATTTTGGCTTTCAAGGAAATAATCTCAAGTGAGAATTGTATAGGAGAATATGTTAACCAAGCTCAAAGTTTCTCCTTATGATTTTTGGATCATGCCATCGTTTCTTTTTTTCCTTGTAGATTCTTGCACTCTCATATGGTTCTTGACAAAATTCATCCATCTCATTTAGTTGCAAAAGACACTTTTCTCTATCTACTTGAAGATCAAGATTTTTATTGCCCAATATGTCATGTGTTTAGGATCAATTGGAAGATGACAAGCTTTTCCAAACATCCATCTATCAGGAGACATCCTAATTAGGGTTTTATATGCAATTCTATAAGCCTATAAAGCATCATCTAACTTTTTCGACCCATCTTTTCCAGAAGGACTAACAATTTTCTCCAAAATTCTTTTAATTTCTTTGTTTGAAACTTTATCTTCTCCACTTGTTTAAGGATTATAAGCAATCACTATTTTATGCTTGACTCCATATTTGGCCAAGATTGCTCAAAATATTTGTTCCGGAAATGAGACTCTTCATCACTAATTATGGCTCTAAGTGTTCCAAAACTTGTGAAGTTATTGTTTTGCAAAAAGTTTATCACTACCTTAGAGTCATTCCTTGGCAATGCAGCTACTTCAACTTACTTAGATACATAATCAACAACAACCAAGATGTATTCATTATTGAAAGATGGAGTGAATGGACCCGTAAAATAAATTCACCACACATAAAAAATTTTAACTTCAAGGATGTTGTTGAGAGGCATCTGATGTCTCTTAGATATATTGCCTACTTTTTGACATCTATCACATCTTTCA